AAAAAAAGTTTTCTCCTGAGCTACCTTTCAACAATCAAAACGTTTTGAAGTGAGTTTAGGGTCACCGAAGTAATCACCTTGTTGTTGACAGATACACTGACTCCCTTCCTAAGAAGAGTGACTGCACAAATGTTTGCATTCTTGAAAGCGGCAAGATGTAGTGCTGTGTTTCCATCACAGTCAGCCCAGTCAAGCTGAATTGTATGATTTATTAGATGAACAAAGATGAATTTAGAGGTTTTACCTGCTGTTTAGTCATATTCCTCGTTAAAATCGTGACGACAGCGATAGGATCGCGGGTGGCTTGGGTCAACTCACCTTTTGTTAGCTGCTTGCGAGAAGCAAATGCGTAATGAAGAGGTGTTCTTCCAAACTACGAAAGATGATTTCAAAAGCATTATACAATAAGTTTAACCAACATGCTAACCGTATCACGGGCTCCTTGAGGAGAGTTTGCTGCCAGGTATTCTATTGGTTCAAGAACTGAGTTTGCAGAACAATCACAAGACTGCACAGCCTCATGAAGAGGCGTTGACTGTTGGTTGTTCGGCTAGAAAAGGCGTGTCCTTGCCTTTACAATTTAAAAGACAAAAATAAAATCACCTTTATAGGAATACCCTTTAGTTCGAATATTCGAAATAGCTCGATTGCACGAAGATCTTGGGTTCTCGCAGCATAATGCCACAGGTTGTCACCATCTAAAGATAAAAACTGTTTTTGCATAGCAGGATAGGGTTGAGAATAAACTAACTGGCATCACAATGCATCCAATCCTTCTGAGAAAGTTGCAGCTCACTCAAAAGTTCGAATCTTTTCATTTCTGTTATGAGCATTGCAAGTGATTTGTTGAGAAGTTTTCCTGGAAGTAATTACTGTAATTGCTCGCAAACCCATGTCAGTGAAAAGAAAGATTGAGCACACACATGCAGGATGTCTTCAAAAAGTACGCGGACATTGATTTCTATAAGCTTAAACTTTTTCCCAGAGCCTTGAAAAGGCCAACACTGACCCGCTCTTACTTTCACATTTTAGCACTACAGCCAGCAAATCACAAGAAAA